TCTCACCGTTGTTGACAACCCAGACCATCACCAGCGCAATCGCAGAGAATATGCCGCCAGCAGCCATGAATACGCCTGTGTATTTTACGCCCACGCCCACGGTCTCGCTCTTCACCCACTGTGCTTCGCTCACATAGCTCTCCCACCACCGTCCTGGCCCGGCAGCCTCTACGGACTCCACACCAGCAAGTGCAGTGTCCAGAGAGCTCTGGAGACTCCCGGTTGCGGCAAGCAGCGCATAGCCGATGGCACCAAGGAGACAGCACAAAATTATCGGGATGCTGCGGGTGGTGTAGCGGTCGGATATCCACGTACTCAGCAGGACAAGCACAAACGCGAATATATACGGCGGAGCCGAGAGCGCCTGTGCCGTGGTTGACTTGTATCCCATGTCATTGATTATAGTGGGTAGAAATACAGGCAGGCTAGAGAACGAAACGTTGCAGAAGAAGTACATCAACGCAACAATCCAGTTTCCGCCGTCTCGAAGTGCTGCAAACACTTCGCTCCAGCGCACACCGCTCTGGTGGTCTTCCTCCTCACGCATTGTGGCAGCGGCGGAGTGATCGCCCTCGTCGGTGACGACGAGGAGGCGTCGGCGCGCGATCTTCTTTTCGTCGGTGGTGAGGAAGCGCGCGTCAGAGGGGAGGTCGGGGATGATGTAGTAGGCGACGACGGCCGCGATCATGGACGGGAAGCCTTCAAGGATGAAGAGGAGACGCCAGGGAGCTATGGCGGACGGGATAGAGGTAAGGGCATATGCGAGGAAGCCGGCATAAGCTGTTGCGAGAGGGGCGGCAGATATAAAAAGACCGCATCGGAGGGCGAGTTCCTAGTGGACATTAGGACAAGAAATAAGAGATGGATTGGGAGTATCTACTTCGCGGCGGTAGAAGAAGGAGAGGTAGAATGGGACACCTGCGGTCTAGATCAGTATCTATGTTGGCAACAAATTATCAGATTGTTCGATGTACCTGGACCAAAAGCAGCTTCGGTGATGCCGAGCAATGCCCGGAAAAATAGCATATACCACCAGTTTGTGGCCAGTCCTTCTATACTTCCGCTCTCTTCGATTAGCTTCTCGTGTTATACCGAATATGGGACGAAATTGGTTCGGAGGTCTCACGCATGCTTGCTACAAACCCCCATCTATTATTGGCCTCGTTAGTGAATTGAGTTTTGAGTAATACTGCTGGGTTTGAATAGACTTACCCCATTACACAGCATGCGATGTATTTGTGTGCCGCAAACACCTTGTAACACAGTGTCATCCATTCAAAACTCTAGAAACATGTCAGTACTTTATTCACCAACTATGATTCGGAGCGGTGCTTACAATGTACGTCATGTAGAACGCTGTCAGCAGCCACTCATATTGGGCTCCGGTCAGCCCCAGATCCTTATTCATACCCGCTACTTTCGCCTAAACCACACCCATGTCAGCCTGCGGTCCCCCACCCCCTGCCTGCATCTCCTAACCCCAACTGCAATCCACTCAACATGTAGGTACTAACATTTCCGATATCTGCACCACACCCCACCACATTAGCCATCACCACCCCGCCACAGGTTATCCAGGAGAGAGAGGGATACGCAACTACTACGATCCAAGAACGACAGCATATACAGCGCCGCCAAAAAGCCGACCAAGTGCAGGTCAAACTTCCTTACGACCTTCCCTTCCTCCTCTCTCGTGTACAGGAATTCCTTCCTCATCCTGGGCCGCCGTCTCCGTCGTCTCCGTATATTTGACGATGATCCCTCCTCATCACTGGCATCGTATACTACCGCACCGCCACTGGCCCCTCCTTCGTCCCCAGAACTATCGTGTCCGGGTGCTATCAGGGTGCCGTGCTCATCTGCATACACCTCTTCCTGTTCCTTTGCCGATCGTGACAACGGCCGCAGCTCATACCCGTCCTCTCCGGTGACCGCAAACCCAGAATTGCTATCGGTGTCGCTCTCGGGGGTGTGAATGTAGGGATCCTCGTCGTCGTCTGCATCTACGGCGGAGGAGGGGTGGTAGCTAGTTGCTGGAGGGGTGAGCTCCAGCGGGGAGGACGAGGATGAGTCTGGCATTGCAGAGAGATTAAGAGTGAGTATTCAGGGGATTTCTCTCTCCCTCTCCGTGGGTCTCGTGTGAGGTGGGAATAGTCGATTTGGGGGGGGGGGGGGGGGTGTCGCGAGATCAGTGGGCAGTGGGTGTTGGGTGTGAGGCTCACACTTGAAAGCCCGCTTGGGCCATCTGTGGCTGTTGAGTGTTGAGCTGTGGGAGCTGCACCTTGGCGGGTCGCGTAGCAACCCCCGTTATTGGACCCTTGACCGGTTTCTAGACTGAAAAGCACCTACTAGTAGAGGAGCCACCGTTACATGTGAATACCACAGTCCCATACTCTCCTCTAGTACGATTTTCAGTACCCTTAAGTAGAATCCACCTCACAAAAGTAACGATTTGGGTATGCTGGTCCGTCTCGAACTCAGACCTCTACTAGGTGTCGCAAGCTGTTCCAGAAGTGCCGGATTTGAAGAGTACATGTAGTTTTCTGCCATCAAGAAATGGGGATTATGCGTTCCAAAGAATCCAACGAGTACTGAGCTTGATCATTTCTCTACCCTTGAGCTTGTCTGTCCCCGGGTCAAGACTCGGTTGTTTAGCTACATGTATCGTTACACAAACCACCCGAGCGATCCATTTATTTCCCTTGGCGCATGTGCTCCTTCCTTGGCACCCAGTGGGTTAGGTTTCCTATCAAGCCAGCTCCAAACGAGCAAAAAAGAAATCATGGGCGGACCGGGATTCGAACCCAGATCTCCTGCATTTCGTTGGCACTTAATCACCTACGTCGTCCCACTTGAGCCCCAGCGCCTGCCCTCGGCACCGCCTGAGAGGGGGGGGAATCGAACGTGTAACATCACCTCACCAAGCCAAGTGCTCTACCATTGAGCTATCTGCCCCTTAGTAACTGTGACGAAACACAGAGAAACATGGTGGTGGTGTGCAGACCTGGTCATGCTAGGATCAGAGGAGTGTGGGCGCGTTGGTTGGGTTGGACTGACGGCGGCAAAATCCGTGGATGCCGTTTTGAGGACCGGCTAAGGCTTAGTTGTTACGGAGGAGGCCTTCATGGATCATCACTCGAAGGACAAGACGCTACCATATATTACATTACAGGCTGGAAGTGAGGCAAAGCCTACTGAAACATGGCATGCCTGATCTATGTAACTCACCCGATAAGGTTGTTGCATAAAACTCAACTGCCTCTCAAATATATAGCAGACATTGATCCCGATGCAATTTCGCGCGACGGAAGATAGTTCTTTACCGCTATATCTATGGATCACTGGAATACCAAAAGTACAATTTTTAAGCTGGGCAGCACTGGTTCAAGCTGAACCTGAGCGCCATTATACTCACGAACCACCACTCGCTACTTGCATTGCGAGAGAGTCTCTCGCTGGGTTCCAGAACGCTAAATTATAAAGCCAGAGGGTCCTGGAGATCCCATGCAAGTGGTACGAATATACTTAGTAATAACCTCGGACGACCGTTATTTTTCTAATATATACGTGGAATAAAGGTACCGGTTTGGCAACAGGCTACAGCCCAAAGTTTTTCAGCCTCTAAATTGTAGATCTAATTCTTATCGTATACGCCGTCAATTATAAAATTGACGGCGTAAAAGTGGCCACTACGCAATATAATAGCGGCGCCTTTTTCATATGCATCTTGTAAATTACTCGTATGCGAAGAGGGGCTTGGTGAAAACGACGCATTGAGCTGCCACGTGGCATACTACATACATGTAGGACACGAGACACGACTTTAACAACGTCACACTCATAAGTTCAAATATCTGTCCCGAAGACTTGCATGAAGCAGAGGTTGGGCTCAGCAATACTTGTATCAATTGATCGTTTCTCCGGTCCTACTTCGACATGTTACAATCGGCCGTACTTGTTCCAACCCTCAGAACAGCGAAGTTATACAATGCTGACTTTGAATAGGAAGTTATAGATGCTCGCCACGTACTGAAACACATAAAGCCACTTCTTAAACAACATTCCATACTGTTGCTGAAATATCGTATGACGGGGTGAATGTAATATGCATGCAATATGCACACGCTACATCTCTAGTTGACGGTGGGCGAGATTTGGGGGGGACTCGCACATCTAGTATGGAAAGAAATGATCGTCTTCTATTCTTGTGTTTAGGATGGCCTTGTATCAGTACGGGAAGTCCATCCCTGCTACGATGCTTGCATACAATCTTCATGATGGAGGAGTACATGAGAAGCAGCACAAGAGGATATCACATTTCTCGCGTTTGCCCTTAAATTAACGATGAGGTAGAAATAAGCACACATTTCTTCTCTAAAAAGAAATGCGGGGGGCCTTATTCGAAAATATCATTCTCTTCATAGGCCATCACTCGCTCAAGCTACACACGGACCCTCTTCGATGATTATTTACGGGAAGATACATAGAAATATTAACTGGGCCAACCAAACCGCTCAGAATTATGAATTATTACCCGTAACGCCTCAAGAACTGGATCTCGACACGATCCGTCGGTGGTCCCGATTAAACTTGCAGAGCATGAGAGAATATCAAGGAAGCGAATATTCCTTTTTCCCGATGTTTCTGTTTGTTTGCTACTTTGGCAAGCCTCATACCGACAGCTCTGCAAGGCAAGAGCACCCAGGGAAAGAGTTTTCAAGACTGCAAACGAGGTCTCACACGGATAATCACTGCTTTTTCCAGTCCAGACCGGTATTCTCGGGGGGCCTTATTTACTTGGCAATTCGACCAGGTGGTTGTCGCCAGTACACACTGGAACATTTGATTTAATAATAGCTGGATACTGAGTATTGATATATATATATATATAAATATTCATGAGCTGTGCGTGGTTTTGGCTTTGGTAGTATCAGAGCCAGTTCGTTATTGGACATTATACAAATTTAACTCTTTTAAAAAAGTGCAACATCTTTACCACAATGCCGAGAAACCCCAAACGCTCTTCGGTCTCGCCAGATAGAAATAATCAGGCTCCAGGGGACCTGGCCCGTTATCTAGAAACCCTCGTGTCACCCATTACCGAACTAAACAATCTTCTAGAAACACTACCAAACATTATACCACAACTTCACGCTCATGTAGCTACCTCAGAGGAGTTGTCCGTCAAGGCTCAACGAATCAAGGAGCTGGAGGCCGCAGTCGCGGCATTTGATTCGGTACATATGAAGACCTCAGAGGCCCTGAAGGTTGAGGTTGGTAATCTCAAGAAGCGTCTCGAGCACGAAGGGAAGCACGTTGGGTCACTGAAGAATGACCACGACAGGAGATTGGAGAAAATTAAGTTAGAGCACAAGCAAGCTGTTGAAAAACTGGAGCTAAGTCACTCTGCCATGGTGGAGAGTCTTGAGAAAAAACATCAGGATCAATTGAGAGACGAAAGGAATGAGTTGGATAAAGTGAAGAGGGAGATGGAAGATGTGGATGTGAAGAATTGTGGTTTGAGGGAAAAGTTAGATTTGGCCAACGAAAAGCTCAGACTGTTGGAGGCGAACATGGCGTGTCTGCCTGACGATAATATTTTGTACCCGATCCCCGCTCACCCCCAAACGCCAGATGTAAAAACACTACTGATATATGGATAGTGAGGAGAAATGGAAAGACCTAGCGAGGGTGTTCCATCTTTTCTGCAAGGAACAGTTTACGAACATCCCAGAAACGCCCACCAATCACAAGCTCACCCTCCAAGAATCATCATATCTCGTCAATTTTGCCACAGCCCTGCCCTTCCCGTTGCCCACCAGTGACACTCAGGCATCCGTCCTCCTACATCTTGCTCTTGTGCAGCATCACATATCCAGCACTTTATGCAAGAACATCTTTCGAACAATTGTGGTTCCCAGCACTTGCCCGGACGCTTCTACAATCTTCGAGTCGATCTCCACCGTGCTTTACCGCAAGAGCCCACACCTCGAGTCAACTTGGCGTAGTCTCACCACCACCGCTCTCTCCCACACCGGGTCCAAAGGCTCTTTGAATACAAAAGTTCAAGACATGGCCACAGAGATCATAGATCTCACATATCTCCTGATCCCCTCTGGCAATCACGACAGCGTCCATGAGAAGCTGTGCGGTCTTTTCAAAATCGCATTCACCACCTGGCGGCCGACGCAGCGCTGCTCAGCACGCATCTTTGCGACCACCGATCTCGGCGATGACAACGATGCCGAGCAGTGGGGATCACAGGTTGAGCAGGACGAGTTTGGGTGTGCTTCGGATATGGATGAAACCGAACAGCAATGCAACAGCAAGGTGCTGTGTCTATTCCCACGCGTGTACCGCGAAGATCAGGACGGGGGGCGCCATGTGTATTTCCCGGGAACGGCGCTGTATGCGGATTCGGGGGCATATGTGGCCGGACTGAAAGAGCATAGGGTCATACAGAACCTAAGGGAGGAGCTGACAAAGAAGAAGCAAGCGGAGTCGGGGGGATCGGTATTGCATGGTAGTAGACGGAGTCGGAGGCTAAGCGTGAATAGGCCGTTGCCGCAGCCGGTGCCGACGCAGGTGCTGGTGCACAAGCCCAGGATTGGTACAGGCAAGGCTTTGGAAGCCGCAGGCCAGCAACAGCAGGTGGTGAGAGTGGCCGGAGCGGCGGGAAGGTCAGCGGAGGGTATGGGACCGGCCGAAGCCGAGGGATCCGGAGCAATATTGGGGTCGACCTAGCTAGTTGTTTAGATTTTGTGGTGGCATTATGTCTTCACCCACCGGGCCACCAGGTAAGATCTAGGAATTTGTTATTTATTTGGGGTGATTTTTAACGTATCTATAGTTCTTTGTTTATTGGGAAGATTTTCCGGATATATCGAAGTGATTATTGTATTGCATATTTTGCACATCTAGATTTTTTTCATTTTGGTCTACCCAAGGATAATTAAACCCAAAGGTTGTTGCAATTACATTCAGTTAAAGTCAGAACGAGTGACTTAATCCAGTGAGTTTCATGACCTCTAACCCCTCACCATAAATACATCACCTCCCCCCCCGGCCCTCGGCCCCCCGGGGCCCCGCCCATCGCCACCATCTTCACAGGAACTCACTCGTTCGAGTGCAATCCCGTGAGTCCAAAAATAGCCCAAATCCCTCAGCCCACGGCACCAGCACCGAAATGAACCATTCCCAAACAGGCCATGTAAGCGAGGTCGTACCCCGCTGGTGTTTTCATTGCTTTTCCCCTAACCACGGAAGTCGGGAGGGAGATGGAGGGCGCGGGTGGGGGCCAGGTGTTTGAGGTAAGAGGAAGGGGTAATGGCTAAATTGATTGAACATTGTGATGTTGTGCACGTGTTTTCACGTAGAGTACATTGTGGTTTGAAATCAAGGGGTACATGTACATACATAGGGTGGAGTGGGATGTATACTAAACTTGCCTGTATGTACGGCCGGTGCTGTCGGGTCAACTACATGTAAGAAGTGATGACTCTCAATTGAGAGATACAGGGACGTGTATGTGGTATGTATATATATATTCGTTTACCTTCTGATGGTCCTGGTATGTGATATGATGTGATGTGTTCCTACGTACCCCAGAAGTCATGTTTTATAAAATAGAGTAGAGTGCATGTAGATATTATATATGGAGACATAGAAGACCACATGTAAGCATCCTTCTTCCCCGCTTCTTCCTTGGTTTTTGAAACCAACCTCCTCTTTTGTACGTGACAACCGTTCTCACACACCAAAATCCCCCATCGTTCCGGCTTCATGTCGGTCGCCCACATGACACTAAGGAAGGCCCTCTTCGAGGTAGTCGACCTTAGTTCGCTCGACAAGGTCTTTGGCCTTCCAGTGCTCACTAACACCCTCTCGGCTGAGGTTCAAAACGCAATCGGCAGCAGAGACCACCGCGACTCCTCACAACTGAACACCCTCCTCTTGTTAGGAGCCATTCAGCAAAACAAACAGCTCGCCGAAGCAGTCTCCAAGCTAGGAGACGAAATCACCTCCCTGAGGGAGTCAATCGCAGCCCCCAAAGCTGCTCCCACCCCCTCAGACCCTCTCATCGTCCAAAAACTGGACACCCTCATCGGGAGAACCAGCCTCCCCCCTCCCACACCCCAGGCCCCCCACAGACCTTCCCCGCCCGCCAAGCCTGCCCAACCGAGGGCAACCCCCATGTATGCACAAGTGGTTCGATCCACTCCCAACCCACCCAACCCCCCCAGCAAGAAGGCAGCCAAGGCAGCCGCAGCCCCGGCCCCAGGATCCGCCCCGAAGGCGAAGCCCCTACCGTCTGCCCACCGCCGCTTCTTCGCCACCAGGACAACCCCCAGCCCCATCGCCAATGCCGAAAGGCTGTCGGCAACCCTCCCCCGCCTCTTCGGCCAAGCCCTGGCCCGAAGCCATCAAGTCGCCCCCGTCACCTCCCTCACCGTCACCATCAACAACAGAGGCACAGTCTCTGTTACCGCTCCCCCCACCGTCCCATCAACGGTCTACACACCGTTCTTCGAAGCCCTCACCACGATCCTAAACGTGGAGGTAGCCTCCCCAGAAAACCCCTACACCACCTTCCGCCCCGCTCCCACCAACGTCGATCTCGCCATCCATGGCGTCCCCCTCTACGAGCTCCCCAATCAGGAATGCCTAGAGGAAATCCTACCCTCTGCACTTAAGCTAGCCGTTGGCATCACCCCCTCTGCCGTCCGTTTCCTAAACACGGATGAAACCTCCCGCTCCTCCAAGGCCACCACCTCTGTCATTGTCTCCGTGACGGCGGAAGAGGCAGCAACCATTGGAACCACCATCCGCCTCTTCTCCCGCCCCAGACGCTGCAATGTCATGTGGCGAGCATCCTCCACCACCCAATGCAGGAACTGCTGCAAACTCGGCCACGCCACCCAGGGATGCAGGTCCCCCATCGCCTGCCCCCTGTGCACCCTCCCCCACAAGCTCCAAGACCACCGCTGCCCAGTTGCCACGTGCAAAGGAGCATCGGCGCCTCTTGAAAACTGCTGCGAAATCTCTCCCGCCAAGTGCGTCAACTGCAACGGGACCCACCGCTCTTTCGCCCCAGCCTGCCCCAACAGGAAACCCACCACTCCCCCGTCCCCCCCCAACCCCCAGACCGCGATGGAAATCTCATAAAAACGCCGCGCCACACCACCACTACCTCCAGGAGACTAGGTTCTCGGAGGCCCCATTAAGGATCTTCCCTATTTTCATAATTTTCTTTTGTCTCTGTAAGTCTTTTATAGGTGGAAAAATAGCCGGTCGGGGATAGGTCTTTACGCCATAGTTTATACTTTATGCGATTCTTTGTACCTAGAAACAATAGAGCTTGATTAAAAAAAAAAAAAAAAAGAAGACCACATGTAAGGTTTCACTCATGTCATCAGTTAATAAATTTTGAGTGTTAATTGTCGCCTATCTGCAAACAAGCAAAATGAGATATAACTCGCTTGACCGCATCATGTGGTATGCACTGTGGCCCCCGCACCGTTTACGAGAATCAGGGGCCGACGGCATGAGGGATAAGATGGTTGGCGGGAAAAAGACACTATTGTTGCCGGGGAATGATGATGCCTGATCGTGCATGAGTCGACGTTGACTGCCCCTTTTGATATCGCTTCCAAGCTATTGATCTATAGCTATAGTGCTACACGATATACGCCCAATTACCTTGTAGAGCACTCTACACACATAGAACCTCTTTAATATTCTGCAAATAAAGTAGTTAAAGTGGCCCAAATGGTCAGTTCCTTGTAGAGCTCATCGATGGTAATATTAATTACATCCCATACCAATGCAGACAGTCCCTAAATTCTCCCCCTGCACCTACTCTACAATCCCAGGAACCACTCGGCAGGATAAACCACCACCCACGTTTCTTCCAGAAACAGGTTGGCGGGAGCACCCTCTGTGCCGTACGTATACGCCTGCAAGGAAAAACAAAGAAAAGAAGGAAGAGCCCATTTCGAACTTTGTACCCCCTGGCCTTTTCGTGTTTCGCATATGATGTGATATTGGATTGGGAAGAGAGGGCTCATCTGTACCGCCACCACCACCACCACCACCACCACCACCACCACCGCCAATATGTACGGCGCAGAGGTGAACATAACAACCACGCCTCTCCCCGCCTCCTAAGCCTTCTCACCCTTTGGAGTTTGTGTAGACTCGTTCTTTCTTTCATTCTCACTTTTATACCATACAGACCGGGGGATACATACTTGTTTTCGCCCACCACATTCTTTCAAACAAACATTTCATTCTTTTAATACAACGTCAATTACACAGCCGCAGACCGTCCACCCCCACCACACACGCCGCCGTTTGAAAAGCTGTTGTTGCTTTAATTACACACCTCACGCGCACACACACCCTCACTCACAGTATTCTAGAAGCCTTGAGCTGCGCTTAAGCGGGAATTTAAAGTGTATTTAACGGTCGACGTCGCTTGTTGCTCGCTTGTTACGTTTGGCTGAAAGTGCAACAACGAGTGCGAGAACCAATCAATCAATCCGACAGGGAACTTACTATATACATACATATAACTGCAGCTGGCTGGGATAAGAGAGGTGAGGCGCCCTATCGATTCGGTACACGTGCGGATGGTAGCTAATGATGCGTTGGTCTTAGATATTAGTACTACTACTACTGCTACTTCTGCTGTTTTACTACTGTTCAACTCAGACACTTCTACTACTACGCTACTAGTATTCTACACACTACCAAACACTCATTACTCTAATACCCAAACACCACAACCATAATCAAAATGCTCACAAACATCTTCTCCCTCTTCTCCCACTCCTCCTCTCAGCAGGGCTACACCAAACACGCCCCCACCCCCCGCTACCGCCCCTCCCCCGCCGAAGACCACTTCGCCCTTCTCGCATCCCTCCAGATTGCAGTCCTCGCCCCACCTCCCGCCTCTACCACCCCCTCCACTGCACCCTCAATGCTCCACGGCCACAACCCCGCCAACCTCCGAAAGCAGGGCCGTCTCGCACTTACCTTCGCGCTCAAGAACCACACCGCCGGTGCGGGGCCGGAGAAGATCCGCGTTGCGAATGCACTGGAGGAGGCGATCGATGCGGCGTGGGCGGGCGTTGAGGATTATCGCGGGAGGGTGTACGCTGTCGGTGGATGGTTGGCTGTAAGTTTCTTTTCTCCCCGAGTTTGTGCTGAGTATGTACTGATTTCTTGGCGACCAGGAAAATGAAGGGATCATTGATAGAGTCCTGAGCGGCGAGGTGACGGTGGAGGATATTGCGGCGGGGAAGCTGCCGGTGCCTGCGGCAGCGGGTGGTGAGAAGGTGGTTGCGGCGTATTGTTAGGTTTGCACTTGCGTTTGCGTTTGCGTTTGCGTTTGGGTCTGGGTTTGTTTGTGGGGGTTTTTGGGTGGTGTTTTTATTCGTTTTTACTTTTTTTGGGGGGGTGTTTCTTCTTTTCAATTTCTTGATGGGCGGTACAGAGCGACATCTCTGCGCTCTTTCTTTCTTTCTTTTTTATTTTACCCATAGACTTTTTCTTTTCTTCCAGTGGCCCCGGTGGGGTGCGCTGCGGCCATTCTTTAGATTATGTGTATTTCTTAGACTTAGATTACTCGGGGTGCGTCATGGGGGAGTGGTGGGGTGGGGGATAAGGAGCTGGGCCGGCTCTGAGTGGTTGTCACCAATCGATTCCTTACTCTCACACTTGATTTACAAATGATCGCTTGTTTGGTTTATTTGACTTATAACAATTAGCAGCATTGGTGAAAGTAAATTTATTTGAGCACTTTTTCTCGGTACCCGATCTTTCAAGACGCCTAGACTTCAGAGCTGGAGTCTTGGTGGTCGTGCGAAATATACTCATAAGCTGTGGCACTAGCATTGTGGGTTAGGGTTTTGCGAGTTATACAGTCGGCGGTTGTTTATTAGCTGTTGGATTGATTGGTTGGTCAAGGCCGCGCTTGGCTTGGTGGTTGATCTTGTGCTAAGACGGAAGTCCGAGATTTCAATTGTTTGAGATTGTCTACATGTATGCACCGAAGGGGAGGGCTCTGGGCTTCCGGGTTGAATGATAGCTCAGCAGCGAAGTATGCAGTCACCAATCACAACCACGCCCAAAGTTCAAGATGATTTATGGATATGTATATGGAGCGCAATTCATATGTATATTGCAATTTCTAACGAAAAGTAAAAAGGAGAAAGAAATAAAACTACATGTACCCATACCATCCACCGACTCCAACCCAAGCAAGCCCCAAAAGATAAAGAAAAAGAAGAAGAAAAAACCGACCCTCCCCAGCTATCGCCGTGCTATTCCTCTAGCCCCTTCCAGCACCAGCCTTCTTCTTCTCCTCCTCATCCTCCGAGTCGCTGTCATCGTCATCGTCGTCATCGTCGCCATCATCTTCCGGCACGTCCACGGACCCACGGTCACCGGTCTCGTCGGGGAAGTCTGGGTCTTCGTCTCTAGATGTTGCAGCTTGGTTAGTTCTCTGTGCATGGTGTCAAGGCATAAGGTACAAGGGGGGAGCATACTTCACTGCAGCGGCGGTAGAGGTAGTGGCAGCGGATGAAGAGGTAGATGTGGGTGTGACGTCGCGGCGGTCAATGGGATCGATCGTGTTGTGGGCTTCGGGGACGTCGATGTTGTTGCGGCGGCGGTTATCGGATGGGTGGGCGAGGGTCGTCGCGGCGAGGAGGGCCGAGAAGAGGATAGTGATGGTTGAGTAGCGCATTGTGGGGGTGTGTTTGTGTTTGTTTTTGTGTTTTAAATGAGTGTCTGGTTTGGAAGGAGTGTGGGTTTCGAGGTCAACTCGAGGTAGTGGATGTGAATGAGTGGATTGTAGATGCTGCAGAGGAGGAGGGGAGTACCTGCGAGTATATATAGAGGATGAGCTGGGTCGGGGAGTGGGTTTAGTATGTGGGGAGTACTTGCGGTCGTCCGGTGTACTGACGCCGGTGTATGGACTGGGCGTGGGGAGTTACAGCTACAAGTAGGTACATGAGGCAATTACTCAGCCATGGTGTGGACATATCGGTGAAGTGTAAGATAGATGGGATTCATGGAATCTCCATGAGTATTCTGCTGACTGTTCGAGAGTGTAGGCGAAAGCTACATATTCACAATATGGCGAAGTAAGTAATCAGATCGGTGTTGAATAGTGAGTGCACTTTGACAGTAGAGTTCTGCGAGAATTACACCACAGCCACTCAGGCTGGTGCCTGGGCCATGGATCAATCCGTAAGGCGAGAAAGCGGTCTAGATACGTACACTACCTACATAAATTCGAATAATCTGCGTTCTAACGCTATACCTGCATACGAAACTGAATAGTAATACCACTTGAGAATATTTCAGGGTTAGGGTTTACAGCACGTCTTAAGGGTTCGCCTTCATACTACATGTACAGAGTAGCTACAAGAGTCTACATACCTACCATTTCAAATCGACAGTATTTGCTCTACTCTACCATCCCTTCTACATCTTATTTCCAATAAGCTACACCGAGACGTGGGGTCCTTCCCATGCGCCGTTTGAATCCTTCCTGTTTGAGCCGCAGCACGTGACGTGTTACTATTTTTGTAGCTGAAAAAATGCGGTGGAGGTTTGTGATATCGATCGAAGCTTCCATGCGTCGTCGGCGACGACGGACAGGGTGGCACCTTATTCTACGCCGCCGCCGGTAAGGAATAAGATGTAGCACAATCCTCCATGTCCTGTACATACTCGGAGAGCCTCATGTCCATACTAGTTCTTCCAAAAGTCAAATAATTAAAAGCATGGCGAGACCTATTCGCGCATTTCTCCTACTGTAGTACATACTTAGTCTAGTTGGGCACGTTTGTCGGTTAAGTTGGTATCCGTGTCTTTCTCTAAAACGATCAGTTTTCTTCCATACTTTCGAATGTTTTCAAAATTCGGCTATAGCATATCCCAAAATAATGATTTCTCAAGCCACGAAGGCCTCGCGCTGCATGTTAGTGACACCAAGTGAAATCATATCGGTCGACCAGCTATAGAAACATTTCACGAAACCGCAAACTTGAGCCGCTTAGTTATGGTACTCCTTACAAAATAATAGCTCTTGTCAAAGAGCAAAAATAGTACACCTATGTTTATGTAAAAGTGATTAATGTACTAGTCCGTTTAAGTCATTGTTGGCGGTCAAATATACTGCGGAAGGATTATGTACTCACTTTACAAGCTGCTTGAATGATAAGCTAATACCTCTTCCACGTTAATAGTACCTTTCTTCTGTTTCAATTATTCTTCACCTTTTGAGATGTTCTAGGAAAACTCGTGCTATGTTCAATCAGTTTGTGATAGTTCGATTGATCGAAGCGGATCTCAAGGCAAGCTCTAAATACCTCTATTTCCGCCGCATAAATCTTCCGCACCTGCTTACGATCAATGAGTAGCCCGTGATGCATGTTTTTGTTCTCGTCCTTTACTTTCTGTGACTGGGAAACCTTCGGAAGTTCATCCTTCACCAAAATTACCCCCCCGATTAATTCGAAATCCATAACTCCGTGGGACCTGGCATCGACATTTAACTGATTAAGTACCAGCGTGTTCACCGGCCGAGAAAGCAGAATTTCATCTGTCTGCATTCCAGGGGTCTGATTTGGTAGATGATAATCACAGAAGCTTCTGAAATGAGTCTCATTGACCGCTAATAATTGTTTGAGAAATTAGTTAGCGAGATACGAAGCGTACCTTAGGCTTTGGGTTAATAGAGAGAACGTGACATACCGATTACACCAAGTGGTTTTGTTTTTCTACCAGAATAGATGATACAACAATCTTGAACTAAACGACATTTCCTGTACGCAGCCTCCAAGGATTCAATGGGAACATAATCCCCAATATATCTCCTTTCCAAAGAGTTCACATTACCGATTATTGTTGGGCCTGGGCATCTTTTGTGCGGATCCCATTCAGCTACAATGCCGGTTTTTACCCAACCCTCATCCAGGAAGGCGGCGACAGAAGCTTCAGGATTTTTAAAGTAACCCATATGTGGTACAGAAGGTCCACGAATGAAAATCTCACCGCATGGTGGACTTGAATGAGCAAAGTAGCCGGGTGCTACAGATACAAGTTTTATCTGCAGCGATGGTAGAATCATGCCAGTGTTCTTGTTATTGTACCGGGATGGTGGCATAAATGTGATCATGCTGGATTGATAAGGTTAATATTGTATAGAGGTGAGGAAGCGGAGATTGAAGAAACTAACGTGCTCATTGCCATAAATGAGAATACTTCTACCATCCTGCCACTTGAAGACAGGACTGCCCCGAGGAATTCTCTCTTCTCCCGAGCATGCATTGAACAGCTGATACCAAGCCATTTCATGCGGGTACCAAAAAGCTTCTCGCGGATAGGTTTGAGATAAATGCTTCTTTCTAACGCGCAGATTGTCATTTTAGATAAAACCCCTATGGGGTCTGTAATATGCTCGGCCTTCTGCTCAGCTGATTTCCAGAAACGCTCTTGCCAATCACTGCTATATCCTTTGATCTTTTCTAGGACATGGCCATGTATCGTATCCCACCAGGCAGGAACCCCGAAGAGAATAGAGGGCTCAAATGATTCAATATCGCCACTACATCCCATTGCAAGATCGCTGTACGGGGGAGGTAGGAGATAGAGAATGCCATTAGTTCCGAACCCAATTGTCACGCCAAGTAGTAAAAAAGCGTTAACAAGGTTATATTCAAGCATAAATGCTAGTGGAAGATATGAAAGATAGGTATCCGATCTATTTGTCGAGGTTTTGAGTATTTGATGAATGTTTGCGACTATTTGAGTGAGTCTCAATTAACTGAACGGAGTGAATAACTCTCAAGGGAAGCTTGACTTACTACTGGCAACCATGTTTCCTACAGTGACCAGAACACCTAGGGGATTCTGCTTTCCATTTGATAGAGGGTACACAGTTCCCCATATTCTCTCTTCATCTGATTGCTTTTGTGCCTCATACTCAGACTCCCTTGATTTGCTGTTGGTCGTGGATTCTGATTTACCTAGTAGTATATCATTACCCAGGTCATGTAACTGCTCTAGGCTTATTATCTCAAAGTGTACTCCGAAGGTGGTTTTCAGGCCTGCAATGCAAGCCTCCGTGTTATTGATGTCTTCTACGGAGGTAGTGACTTGGTCGTAGATGACTGTGGACACATTCGGACACTCAAACAATATCTCTGATAGAACGCCCAGAAGGTCGCTATCCACGAACACCACTCTTCCGTGTGTTTGAAGCAAGATCTCAACGATAATCCATTTGTCAGAATTTGGATATAGTGTCACTAAGGGAATATTAGACATTGACGCCGCATGACTGAGCATAAACCAATTTGCGCTGCTCAGGAGAGTTAGACAAAAGATCGACGGTGGACATGCGTAGACAAGTTGGGACAGACCTATTTCTGCCAAACATATGCAATCTGCCTTTCACAACCTGCTTCAAACCGGCCGATAAAGTTGAAACTATCTTGCCGACCTGATTGTATGTTAAGTATTCCCATTCCCCCACAGTTACAAGCCCCCTTGTCTGGGCGCTGTCCTCAATCGGAGGCCCACCTGCATCTTTTCCTCTTACTCGTGACTGTGCCCCGCCAGTCGCCCGGCTGGCAACGTTTCTGGAAGCAAAACAACGCTCATCTCCATATTTAGAGACTGCAAACGAAAGTATCGCAGAAAGAGTACCGAGCTCCGGTTTAGATAGTGGTGTCTCTAAGTAATGCAGGTCTTGTGAAGGGCTGATGTTGAATGGAGGGGTTTCTGTCGGAGGGGAAGGTGTTTTCTGCGAGGACTCTTGTGAGGATAGCTCTGAAGGCGGGCCTGTGAGGCAGCGGGACTCAGGGCCAGAAGGCATACGACTGAGGAAATTTAGGTTGTCCATTGAGAACCTCTGTATGAAGGCCATCTTCGAATACGTGGCGGGAGAGATAAAAGAGGGGCGATGTCTAAATGAGCAAGGAGGTGGTGCGATGAACGGCCTTAGGGTAGGGTGAAAGGACGTTCAGATGTGATGACGTATGATGGATCTTGAGGTTTACCGGGGAAAAAAAGCCAAAGTGGAAAAAACAGAAAGGGGGCTGTTGGCGAGTGATATTTCGTGTCTACTATTCAACCTGAGTTTAAACGCACAATCATCACCTCGCTTGGGGAGGATTCTATTCACGGCAATCACATACGTGCTCGCAAGTTTCTATATAAACCGAATTCTATTGCGTCTAACATGCATATATAGGAAAGAACCAAATCTATGGATGCGCGTGCTCTTAAATTGATATACTCCTCTCATGATGGTACGTAAAACTCAAACATTTGGATAAAGACTCTTTTCAATTGAATAAATCATTTTCTACTAGTACTTAATCGCTATCCCCCCCTTAATGTCTGCTACCATTGGAAGTATCCACCTGCAAAAGCATCTGGATACTTTATCCGTCAAAATTAACGTTCCATCACCATTTCGATACCGTCTCCAGCTACTGCAAAGATACAGTCACAGAAGTGTGACTTCTAGCTTCTTAGGTCTTCATTTTACGCAGCCTAATTAGCTCACGTATCTCTTCGCCTGAGAGGGCAACAACTGTACCCTGATCTTTTACTTCCCAGCGACCTGCCAGACGGCGCACGCTAATACGGTACTTTCTTTTCAGATAATTGATTTTGAAGGAGATTAGAACAGTCTCATCGACATCTGACATCCACTTCAAAAGCGGGATCCACTCAGAAATGCCAAAAGCCACGCCTCCAAGAACCACAGTCCCTTCATTACTAAGTGGACCCTTGTTCAAAACGCCGAAGTGTTCGACCTTTGCTCTGCATAGATGGCAATCGATATGGACTGGTGGGTACTCGCCGTGCAACTTACCCTCAAACTTTGCCTTGAAAATACCCTTCAAACAGCGTATGCACGCTGCATGAGGGCACAACTTAAACCTCACGGCCACCTGATGGCGGCCCAGGCAAGCAGCACACTGAAGATTCGAAGGGATGTCTATATCACTGGTGTCGGAGTCTGTTTCGAAAGCGGACTGGGCCAATAACCGTCTATCATCATTTCCACTCATCTTCTTTGGTGTGGTGTTTAAGGATTATTCGAGGATTGAGGAGTCTGTACTGTGGTGGTTTGTTTGCTCGATTCTTCGACTGGATTGAGATACGGTTCTAGTAGCTGGCGGACAAAGATCTCTTATACCATGATTTTTTGATTCAACCCTTTGAAATTCAACTTTTGAAATGAGTTTTCTGCGAAGAGCTGCGTAAAAAACAGAATTTTGCTAGTCTTGAAAGCGAATAGTAAGCACGAAACCTACATTCTAGATCTCTTCCCAACTTGATATCATGCATGCTTCATGCGCCCAGGTTACTACAAGCAGCTTGAAGAAGATGCTGATAAAAAGAAATTTAAAGCCTGTCAGCTTGGAATATCTTTTGGAATTTTCCCGCTCCCCATGTCGTAAGATCACTCTCATGTTTGTCTAGGATTGCTAAATAAACTATTTGATAGTATAGTAGTACCGAGTCACTATATTCAGTTTATGGTGGTTGACCCCGATGGATAGTAAGAGACAAAAAATGTTTCTTGGTCATAACATATCGGGAAAGGGTACTGTTGATACCATTTTCATCCCCACGCAAACAGACATAACATGCATATCTCCTAACCCCCCCCGGGGGGCCAACCCATACCCTTTCCATGAACAGAATGAAATAAATACAACGTACGCCTTAATCCTACTAGAGCCCCAGCCACCGACGTGGAAAATAAAGAAAGAAAAATCGCTCAATCCCGAGATAAACCGAGTTAAATACAAAGGAATAAAATTTACAAAATCAGGAACATTTCCATAATTCAATAGCATAAGCTCGTGATCGATTAAATTGCTGATCGAAAAAAAAAGAAGAAACAGAGAAAAAATGATGCTGTTCTCTTACGTCATCACCTAGTACCTGCGTTTATGCATCTACCTCCCATGCTTGTTCTCCCATCGATCTAACCTCCTGTTGACTGCTCCCATTAGAACCTTTAGTATCCACTCTCCGTCAACACCACCTCCCTCTCTACCATCCCCTTCGTTTTGACCGTCCGGATAAGGCGTATAATCAACCATATCTCTGATGCCATATATTTCTGCTAATGCATCGTCTAGATCCTCTAGCGCCTCACGAGCACCCTCCTCGTCACCAATCTGGAAGAATTGAATCCCAACCTGGTGCAAAGGTGCGTTAAGCATATCGAGTCTCCTAGCGGCATCCACGATTACACTCTCTGGATCATCCGTTGGCTCGCCATCGGTCAAAATGATGATATTGAGTGGCTTGGGATACTGAGCAGTATTGAACCCCGGAGAAAGGGGCGTCATGGGTGGTGATCCAGGAGCACTTGTCCGGACAGCAGCGTATGAATCCAGATAATCCCTTAGTATGCGGTCCAGGCACGCCGCGATAGGAGTGATTCCGCCAGGTTGGACACGATCGAATAGTCGGTGCACCTCCGCGGCGGATTTGACATTCCGTGCATCGTGCTTTGTTGAGTTAAGGAAGTGTATATCAATACCATCAGTATCATACTTTGTGGCAATGGTCGCGATGGTTTCGAGGGCGATCCGAGTATCAGGCCAGCGGGTGAAGGCCTCCATGGAGGCAGAATCATCAATGATGAAGACAGTATCGAAAGATCGCAGAAAGTCGTATTGATTTTCACGCACACTATTTCTACCAAGACCCCTTCGAGATAAAGTACCACTTGTTGCGGAGTGCCGCTTAATTTTCACATGGATCTCGCCGTGTCCACTTCCATGTCCGCTGCCGTGCCCGCGTTGATGCTGGGATCCATTCCCATTCGCATTTATATTCACGTTCCCGCTACTGCTGAAACTCTTTCCCGAATCTTGTCGCTGGGGTTGTTCGATAGTCCCATGATCACTGCTCCCAATCTCAATAGGTTCCGGTTCAGAGCTGAGCTCAAAGGTTCCGGGGCGGGGATCGAAATTGGTACGGTAACGGTGGAGCAGACTGTTTTGGTCCGGCTTACCAATACCGATTTTTGATACCGCATAGTCGATATAATCTTGGCCGCTCATTTCACCACCAGAAGTTGGCGGGGTTTGTGGATATGGCGGGGGTATCGAGCCAGTGCGCGAGAAGCCTGGGGGCGCGGGGGTTGAAAAGCTAGGATGTGTGTTTGAACGCCGGGCTTGCTCAAACGGAGAGGGCGTTGGTGGTGTAGCAGTGATCATTGGCGTACTTGGAGCTTCAGAGGTTCAGTAAATGAATTCCAGGCGCGGATCCTACGGGCGAGGGGATTTAAAAACTTACTGCTACCACTTCTATTCCGATTCCCACCAATGATGATTCCCATTGAAGAACCGGAAGATGGTGGGGAATTCGATAATGTCTTTGACATATCTATGATTTGCAAAGGATCGGGCAACGGGAATTGTTGGGATGTTTGAAATGGCTCGGGCATCTGAAGTGGTTCCGACATTTGGCCCTGCATCGGCACTGCTATTGGCGTGGAAGGCGCCGCCGCTCTAAGCTCTGCTGGAGCTGCTTCGGACCTTTCCGATCGATGTTTCCTCGACTTTGACGAATGTTTCCGTCCCGGGCTGTCGGACCGCGACGAGTTAGAGTGTGAATTCGAATGTCGCGATGAATTTTCCCTGGCCGGAGCTGTTGATGAAAGCTCCGATCGCGATTTATGTCTCCTGCTTTCCTTTTCACCACCAGCTCTAGAAGTACTCTCGGTCCTCGATCTGTGTTTCCGCGACGACGAGGACGACGACTCTTTATCCGATCGCGACTTGTGCCTTCTAACTTCCACCCCGAGATCAGGTTTAGATGTGTGACTTCTCCCAAGCCTGGATGAAGTAGATTTCTCGCTCAAAGGTGGTGGTGGTGCGGGGAGCCGGGGATCTGCAGTTATCGAAACGGGTCTGTTTCCACCAGTTGGCGAAACTGAATAATCCTTCTTGCGACGATGGAGGTGAGGATGATGACGGTGCGGGCTCTGTCTTCGATCTTCCTCCGTATCATCACTGCTACCACCTACGAAGGAGAGGCGCCGAAAGGCACTCATAAGATATTGGGAAGACAGCTTGAATGGTGTGTGGTCTAAGTCCTGGTATGTATAATTTTCCGTTCCTGCGTTCAGGATAGCTGCGAATTTGTGATTAGGATTGGTCTTAAGAGGCGCAGCACTGTTTTATGTGGGTTTCCTGTACTATGTATAAGCCTCGGTATCTCTTGAATGGAGATCTGGTGGCGGGTAAGTGTTTGATAAATATTTTGTATAACTGTACACAGTAACAACGAGGCGGGGAAGGGGGAGGGGGGGTGGAGGGGGAGGGTTGTGGGAGTATTTATCACCTATCCAGCCAGGACTTATTTACCAGCAACAACCAAAACAACAACATGCTGTTGTTGCTGCCGCCGCTGCACCACATCGCCAGGTGCTTTTCCCTCTTCCTAATTCCTCTGGGCGAGTTAGGTATGTGGGTGTGGGTTGTTCTCGTCATATTTGTTTCTGGGAGCTGCAGCTAATTGTCTGACTTTACCAGTTTTGGGGTGAAAATAATAATAACAGCTCGGATATTATTGCATGGACCGGGGTGGTGGGTGATGCCGGGCAAAATATTTGGGCTTGCGTGTGATTATGCGATTGAGGTTAGGGTTGGTTCTGGAGTTACTATTGAACTTATTGGGGTTAAGCAGCCGGGAATTGGGGCTTACAATTGGACAGGGACCGCCGCGGGGCCCCCTACTCTATCTATCCTCAAACGCCGCAGCGAGGCTGATTTTGTTCTGTCAGACATACCGAGACTATTGGGCGAGAAATCCCTCCGGACATGCACCCCCCAGTCCTTGGAATGCATGCAGATACCAATAGGGTCCTGGATGTCGAGGAGACCTTGAGAGTGGTGAGTGACGGACCTCAATTCTTCCAGAAGCTGACATGGAACTTTAAACACGAGTGACGAGTGCAGTTTGATAAAATAAGGCAGCAGCTGTCATTCTCATTGTCATTGCATTTATCATCCAGCGATGCATCTAGACATTGAAAAGTCAAGAGGATTAAGACGGAGAGATATTTCGAACGCGTATCTATGTATTTCCATCCTTCTACCCTACCATGTCCGGGCTTGGTATCATTGCCTGCGACTGGTGTGCAGGCCATTCAAACCTAAACGCTTTCCCTCTACACATCTTTGCTCTTTCCTTAATTCTTTGCCAGCGCAAACCTGGTTTTCATCGATTCGTCTCATGATCATGTGATACACACAAAAAAAGTTTAAAGCTTGAGAGAAATAGCCTGACGTCTCTCTCTCCTCAGCTCAACTATGTATGTGCTCTTAGACATAGAAAATGGTTGCTCCCAAACGCGGTGGATCAGACTAAGCTGAGCTGACGAATACCTGGCCGCGAGAGGTGCTAACAGTTGAAGAAATAGCAGCACTTTGGCTCCTATCTGGCAGTACCGAAAAACGTCCGTCCGGTATATAATCTCATCTCGAACGGCCCGTACGGATGTGATCTTGTGTGCATTGAACTCAGATGGCTCATCAGGTACTAAAGTAACTAGCTAGCTGCGGGGATGCACTCAGGAACAAGATGTCCTCAATTTACGTCACAAACTCTTCAAACTTTCTCTGCCATGCCGGCACACACATTTTCCTATATCGGCCGGTCGGCATAAAGCGGCCATGTGACGCCTCAATCTATCCGGAGTTCGGAACCACCACTACCACCACCTGCATCGGATTCTTCGGAGCGGAACTCGGCTACTTGCCAAGATGTGAATTTATGTGGAATGACGGGTGCCAATCGTATTCAAGGATTGGCTGACTCATTGGCTACATGTCATGGATTTAGCGCTATTAACTTGGCTTTGGGTATGTGCCAATGAGATGTAGGCATGGAGTTTCTACTGATTGAGGCTGTAGAACCCTTTGACTTTGGCTTCGCCTCAACCGGCCATTACTGGCTGGGCGTGAACTGGCTTCCATCTTGAAACCGGTGTGGCAATCCAAAGTGGTTGTGGGTTAGGTTTGCTTCAAGGCTGACCAAAAGAAGAAACGTTCCATGCTTCTGATGATCGATTAATTAGAGTTCTCACGCCCCTCATGATCGGCAGTATGGTTTCCCGGGACTGTGCCTACGTACCTACATAATGTCCTGCATACCTGGTATCAAGGCCAGCGTGTCACCGGATACGAACCAGAGGGCATACGTCGGTGCTGCAATGCGGTGGTTTATTTCTAACGCCTTGATTCTGGGGGAGTTTGGAAAGCTTATCTGAAATATGTGTTCATCCTAGCTGTCTGCATCTTGCAAGTAAGGTTGACTCTGATCTGAGCCCGGTAGTACTTACGTCTCTCCAGGTCAGCCTCAGTTATTGCACTTATAGGTGTGGGCGAGTCGATGAAGAAATGGAGGGTGAATAGAACCTAATTCACCCCATCTGGAGTCATAGCCTCTAGAACGGGTTGCGTTATGCATCAAGAAAGCTATTTCCATGTTGCAAAACGGAAAGGCTCCAGAACCCAAGTGTGACACGGCTGTTATCATATTCTCCCGTACGAGACAGATGCTGCTACCCGCCGAAGAGAAACCGCAGGGCGAAAGGGACAACACCCGTTTCAGGAAGCTGTATAATATACCTAACTCTGGTTGCGGACTGGTTCGCATCGTCAAGGAAGCCTCAGCTGAGGAACCGCTGGCCAGGTTCTTCCCAGATTTCGCCCTTTGATTAAAACCCCAAGCAAGGCTGCAGGCACATTTCCCAAGCCCGTGTAACCAGCCTTAAGCTTGAGAGTGTTGCACAAAGAGATCTGTGAAACGGGAGCAAGCTGATGGGGCTTATTTTCATAGATGACAGCATTGCATTCCGATGGTAGTAGGTATAACCTTATATCCCGAGAGGGGATATCATTTGAGAATTTGTGCTCCCACTCTCGGAGTAACACAACGACACTTTAATATCAGGAAAGAAGTAATGGAATGATAGATGGGTGGGGATTTTCTTAGATTGGGAGTAGGGAGAAGATGAATGTTCATTCCAGTCCCGATATTATGGATTATGGGCGGGACCCTGCATGCACTATACTACTATTAACGAGAGCTTTATTACCTCTGCAGTAGATATTATAAAATGTCTTGGACCCCCACTACTCCCATGTATGTCTATCATACAGTAATTCGGGATGGCTGCTTGCATTCATGTAATACCTCTTTAGAGAGTCTCGATAGCATCAATATATATTTTCTTCTACTGCAGGTAGCAGTCCACTTGACCGTTTGGGATATGTACAGAGAGAGTGTTCATGTCGTCATACAACTGAGCCCGCGTAAGATAATCTGGTCTAGATGAGGATGGCTAACATCTATGTTTATCATTGCTATACCATCCCTTGCAGCATATCATAGTTTTTTGACCGACTTAAGTCAGCGAGATTTGAATATCATCGTATCATACACAAACACATTGCCTGACCAAGGCCCAGTATATTGACACCTGAAACTAAACTAAACCGCGAATTGCATTTTCAAATAAATACATGTAGTCTTCGGCGGGATTCTATAAAACGGGCATCAAAAGCAGTCCAGAACAACCCTAACCCTGACTGTGAAAATAACAGTTATTCTGTCCATATTCATCTCTTAGGAGAAGCAGGGAGTAGGGTACATCAAGAATTCCATCTGCTGGATAGGAAATCTACATGTACAAAAGATCTATCTACAGTAAAAGAACCCATTAATCACTCCAACCATATGTAGCTTTACCAGGCCCTTTCCCCTAAAAATGGAAACGGGAAAACCGGCGATATTCCAGCAAGCAGTACCAAGGAGTTGAGCAGAGGTAGGCACATGTAGGTAATACCTGAAATTTATAGAAAAATTTCAAACAGGATCTAGCAAGTGTAGTTTTGGCCGCTATCAATTAACGTCACAGACTCCAAGGTTAATTAGACTACCGGCGCGCGTGCGGTGTTTACAAGCTTTCTGTAATTAGTCCTTGTGGGTTTATGTCAGGGCTTACGATAATTCGCCGCTGAAGAATGTAGAGATAGATGGGTGTAAGATTTGAGAAACTGTGGTGCGCCCACGTTGTTCACTCTTGACGCTTTTTACATACAAAAACAGCCAATTTCAATCTCTTAGAATTTCATGACCATGATAGATATCGATAATCTGTCAAGATAACCTCTTATTTATCATTGTTTCTAGCCTTTGTCTCGACAGACTTTTGATATCTTTTGTGGTGGTGAAGTTATAAGCGATTGAAATTCCATTGTCTTTAAGACCGGGGGCACCATACCTGAAAATATACGCATTGAGTAGGATATTATACATTGTAATTGTTAAGTCAAGACCACCCCGGGCCGCGCGGGGCTGAAGAAAGTAGTATAGTTTCAAGAATTCTGTATCATATCATGCAATACTAACAGTACTAGTCTTATCCATGAGCCCGCGTCGAGAAGAGATTATCCACAATGATCAGCTTCTATCATATCATCCCACTACAGTGACTGCCACACTCTCTTATTTATCATCAGAACTGACATACATCTGATATGGGCTGCGTTATGTATCAATACGATTACATACAAGCATCCTGAACAACTGCACACTGCTGAGGGTAGCTGATTGAGACTGCTTGAACCGACTCGGTCTCGCCAGCCATATTAGGTTCTCCAATTAAAACTCAAAACAGTCTACAAAAGGAATACCTGCGATCGCGAACACCTGGGCCGTATGTACAAGTATTTACGTATTATTTAGTTTGATTAGGACTCACAAGTCCTGTTGGCTCGAGCTTTCCAGGTTTTATTTCTCTAAATACTATCGTCAACCTTTCATTTACCTTGGGATCATGTGTTGGAGGTGCCGAAAATATATTTGACCGCCTAACCCCGCAGGATTGATATAAAGCCTTTAATATTTGGCGTCCGTTCAGAATAAGGAGTTTATAAAATCTTGGAGTTTCGAACCCTAACCCTAACAACATGGTCTAACTGACTTTAAGAGCTAATATCTGAAAGACTCGATTTTCCATAATTGTACAAGTCAAATTGAGCTTCTCATCCTCCTCTTCTCGAGCCGGCCGGCTTGCCGCGATCGACCATAAGAGGACTCAGACTCAGGCTCCGAAAACCTGCGAGTTTTGAAGCCTTTGGCCATGGGTGAAATTTAGAGATAGTAATTCTGAGGAACCTGTTATACATAAGTACATAGTTCGATCGGCCTTGGATTAAATGAAATACAGAATCTGATCAATGCCATCCTAATACCAATGTGTTTCTAAAGCTTTCTTTGAACGCGTATAGAAGCTATTGTGCATCATCAACGGGGGAATTAATCGCAATGTGAGATCACTGCGGTGTCAAGGGCACTTGCGGGAGATCGAAAGGTAAAGATATAGAAAAGCTATAGATCGTTACCATATCTGTAAGAGTGTAGGCTTGCAAAGATGGCAGTGTATTACAGTACAGGGTACCAGTCACTTGGGCCGTATTCATGAACTCGAGTCAGTTAATTCAACAAAGTACTGCGATCCGGGGGGATATCGCGGCTGGTACAATTAGATTGCAAGGTGAGATATAGTCAAGGAGAGTGGGCAGTCATTTAGGACGAGAAATAACTATCTCCCTTTCTGCTCCTGCCAATGATCGATTATCCTTTGGCTAGTATCAAATACTTTGGCTGATTCCTTCGGCCATCTTGGAGGCTAAGGGAGTACTTCGATTTCGCATGAGATTTGAGCTCATGCTGTTGCTATCCTACCGATGGTAGAAAGGTGAGTCCTGACCACCGTTGGTTGTCAAAAAAGACGGCGCAAGCTATCATTGAAGCAAAACAGCGTCTGGCCCTCACATCTCCTTAGAAATGTAACAAACAAAACTAGGACCTTTGTAAAACTCCCAACGACTATAGATTAGAAAGATGAGTTGCAAACCTCTCGGGTTCTCGTTGAATTAAATGTCTTCCTACTGTTATCCCGTTAACGGTTGTGCACCGACCTTGGGGTTTCTTGTCAAAAAGGTGGTGGAGTAGGGCTTTAACTTGACCAAAAGATCTTTGGTCTCCAAGACTGAATGAAACATATTTCCAATTTTATGGGACTCTAGGGTGTCCTTGAATAAGAAGGATATAAGTTGGGTATACTCTGAAAAGACAAACACTCAAAAGATGTCCATTGGCGTTCCCAAACCAAGACGACGAACCTTGGTATAATGTTTCCAGGAAGTCAGGCGAAATAACACGAGGAAATCCCATTTTCTACGCTTATTTTCGATATCTTGCAAGTACCCATCACGAGGAGATAGTTTTCGCCGTTTTGTGATATTCGGGTATCACTGTGCCATATAGAACATAATATACTAAAATCCGCCTCGATTTATCAATCCAGGTGTTCTCGATGTACTCTAATGAGCTTTGCGATTGAATCCGGGAGTAATAGCAAATGTACAAAGGAGCCTTAATTCGCTCCAGCCCCCGGGCTCACACGGCTGGTACGAGCGAACTGCAACGGAAAGAAATCGATTGATAATAGCTAGATCCATGAAACGTAGAGCGAGAAAGAGAGGGGGCCCTCTTACTGGGACTCCACCCCCCACCCCCCGGGCGGGGCGCCTGCCAATGATCGATTTCCCTTGATTTATGTACGCCAACCATTTGGACTCAATACTTCCTAATATACCTCACTCGACAGTCAAGGACAGCCCTTCCCGCCTTGCCATTTCATTGACCGCCATATCAGCACTTCCGAGCGCCCATATAAGCATCCGAACACCCCCAAAACTAGCCCCACAGTGCTACTAGCTCACGAGCTCAACTAGTGCATACCTGGCCGTTCGGAAGTCAATGTCAATATGGCTGTGGGTATTAGAGCATATAGGCCAAGCCGGTACAGGCAAGGAGTACGGGGCGCTTTGTAGGGCTGTAGCCGACATCTGCTGCTCCGCTGTGTATTCGGGTCCTGGGTAGTAGAGTAATAGGTGACATCCCGTGGACCGATACACTCCTGAAAATTTCAAGTTTGAATATTAATTGTAGGTCCAGCGTCAGGCGCTTTATACAAAGGAGATCCAAGGTATATAATGTCAAAGAGAAAGAGGGCAAGAGCTTGTAAAATGATATCCATATATATCCTGAGTGGCCAGTAGTGAAGTGCCAATTGTTTCGAGTGTTTGTAGAGCTGTTTCAAGCAATTCAAGTCTGAAAGGTAGACAATTCCAGAGTCCACGAATCTGAACTTGCGGACACCAAAATACCAACGGTATGCCATCCGGTAATAGTCGCACTTGTTCGATACATACCTCAGAGATCACGCCTCGCCATTGAGACATACCCGGATGTTTGAAACAATATTGCTTTCCCTCCAAGCCTATGTACACCAGACACGTCAGTAGTTGACCCTAACCCACACAGCTCAAAACCCCCCCGCCCCCCCCTGACCGCCCGCTAAATCCCCACCACCTCAAAACCTCCCAGTACCACAATGGACACCCCCCCAATGGACACCCCCGCGATGGCCGCCGCCCCCAGCTTCCTCTCCCTCATCGACGGCGTGACGGTCGGGTCCTTCCTGCTCGTCGCCGCGCTGCTGTTCCTCGCCTACGCGCTCTCCGTGTTCCTGCTCCCGCCGCGCACCAGCACCAAGCTGCGCGTCATCTTCATCTGGCACCTCTTCGACGGCCTCATCCACTTTGTCTTTGAGGGCAGCTTCCTGTACTACTCGTTCACGGCGCGGGCGGCCACGGGGCTGACGGGGCCGAGCTCGCACGTGCTCTGGGGCGACAGCGCGGTCGCGTACGGCGCGCGCCACTCGCAGGCGCCGCTGGCGAAGCTGTGGCAGGAGTACGCAAAGGCGGACTTCCGGTGGGGCGACAGCGACATCTGCGTGGTGGCGCTGGAGCTGCTGACGGTGTTTGTGGGCGGCCCGCTGGCGCTGTGGATCTGCGACATGGTGCGGCGGGAGGACCAGAGGATGTGGTTCTGGGTGACGGTGCTGGCGACGGGCGAGCTGTATGGCGGTGAGTGTGCGGGGTGTGCGGGTGCGGGTGTGCGGGTGCCGGGTGTGCGGGTGCCCGGTGTGCGGGTGTGCGGGTGCTGACTGAATGCGGTGTGTGTGCGTGCAGGATTCATGACCTTTGTGCCCGAGTGGCTGACGGGAAGCCACAACCTGGAGACGAGCAACTTTATGTACAAGTGCGTGTGCTTCTGTCTTTCCTTCTGTTCTGCCTGTCCCCCTCTCTCACTTCCTCTCCCCCCCTCCATAACCCCACCGCTAACTCCCCCCCTCCCCCTCCCCCCCAGATGGGTGCACCTCTTCTTCTTCAACACAATCTGGGTGTGGATCCCGCTGTGGCTGCTGTACGAGGCCTACAACACGTTCCTGCCCGCGCTGCAGCTGCAGGCCATGGTCAGCAGCGAGGAGGACGAGGACGACGACAGCGAGGGCGAGGGCGAGGGCAAGAAGGCGAGGTAGCGGGCGGGTGTGTGCGGGTGTGTGTTAGTACCGCCCGGGTGTGTGTGTGCGAGTGCGGGCGGGTGTCTGTTTGGTGCTTGTGTGCGGGAAGGGAAGGGAAGGGAAGGTCTCGAGGCCTTCTTTCGCCTGGTTTTCTTCGTTTCGAGTTCCACCGTTCCCATCTCTTGATCTAATAACTTTGCGATGAATCGAACGGTACGTTTCCCGTGGTGATTGGCTCAAGTGAAGTATATATGGTAGCACTTGCTGGAACAGGGTTCCCGACTGTAAAAAGCCGACTAATCAGGTCTATTCCTTTTGTCATTTCTGGGAAGTTCTTTATTTCTTTATTCAATTCGGGGATTCGTTATCCCATTCGGGAATTTCATTGTCTTTCTTTATTTCTCTTCTCTATTTTTCTTTATTTTATTTTCATTCCGCTTTCCGGAACTCTCTCTAGTGGTCTATGAAGAAGATCGAAGCTGCCACAGAGTGCAGTAAATAATTTCCTTTGTTTTTCATCATTATGAAAAGAGAGCCATAGAAGGAATAACACAAAAATCATCCGAAAATAAAAAGAAAGTCGTCTTGACATCTCCTCATCTGCACCCTATTTGACAGTACTCACTCGTGGCGCAGTTGGTTTTTACATATATCCTATCATACTTACGTCTCCACTATCAAACGGTATCGGTATATATATGCCCTGGGGTGGAGCCCAACCCTAACAATATTGAGTATCTGCTGGTATTTGATTGTCTTTATACATGTGTTTTGTGGGTTGCGGCTCGATGTTGGTGTCCGTTCGTTGGGGGGCCGGGCCTGGTGGTCGGGCTGGTAGGCCTGTTCTTATATAATACTTATCGTCAGCTCCCTTCTCAGTTAATCCCCATACTTTGATGAGTTCGATGCTGCGAAAACGACGGTGGTAGAGAACATCGCCGGGGGTCTGGTAATAAACAGAATTCGGGAGATTGATATCAGTAGATAAAAGTGCGTGTAGTAGAGACGGTTGATCATGCGCGAGTGCATAGCTGTGTCTAACCCTAACCCATTTTCTTGGCGAAACTCCCTGACATGTATAATTGACACATGACGGAAGGTGTTGATATAATCCAGACTGGGCAAAGATTAGTAATCTACAAAGATGTAGTAACTTTGGATCTCGCTTTGGAACGGGGCGCAGCTCGAAGTCGGGTTTATGATATCGAAAATCCCATAATTCAGGACGTGGTAATGTATGTACTTGAGCTTGTACTTGGTCTGCGCATTCTAGCCGTCACAGTGCGCTGGTTTGGAGGTCCGCCGCCTTTTTCTTCGCGTTGGGTTCCTGCCTGGAGCGTTTACTCGACTTGCAATGACAGCGGGGTGTATTGTCTGCGCATGTTCTAAATCCCCCAGCCCCCCTTTCGTCTGGCCGTGTGCTTCACAATCGCATGCGCGCATCTCTCTCTCTAGAATCCCCCTAGCCTCCTCTGCACAGTACTCCGCACCCTCCAGACTGCAACGGACCGAATGCTGAATTCAAATTAGTGGCACTGGTACCAGAGAATTGGCTCGCGCGGGGCGGGGATATTGGCTCTACCATGGGGGTAAATGGAGAAGGATATCTATTCATGATAGTACCAATATATGCGCAGTGCGAGTGACGTTACGTGACAGTGGCCAGTCTATTTCACCAAAGACATGTTTACTGATCTGCGCTCTTAGTTCATTTCCTTTGACTCTCCGGATCCTTTGCTGTCCAAACTGATGCCAAGCCGTCTTTTGCGAGTGATATTCCACGAGGCTATGTACGCACTGGTACAGTATTTGCTTGGCAATTGCGAATGAGCAAACCAGGAGGATCATGCTAGTATCACCCGTAGAATTGGTTATTTCTGCTTTACGTTGTTCGAACGGCTAGACGCTTCGCGCATTCTTTATCGCTTTTATCCTAAATGGGTATTTCTCGTTCTCATCGAAGTCGGGCGTAATTCTGCTGCATACATTCATAGCTTGGCGTCTTCCCCGCGTCTAAAGCAAGGCTTAAATCAGGGAAGGAGCGAGAGCCCTGGAATTTACATGTATCTTTTGCATCTGTACGCTAGGAGCGGGTGGCTGCAGGGTGATGCTCCGGGTGCATGTTGTTGGCAGGGGACAGCTAAAAGCTTGGCCATGCATGGTTTGCGAAAGCACCAACCGACGTCAGTCATGATGTCATCTCCTGCTGTGGCACGAGCTTCGATTCACCTTCCCTCGGCGCCTCGCGTCCTTTCGCTCCTTCCCTGCTTCTCTTTATTTTATGGAAGTCGGCACAGAGACGCGATATGAGTGGGAGTGAGGGAGGGAGGGAGGGAGGGAGAGGGAAATTAAGGGGGTGAAGAGAGAGAGAATAAAGCCTTCACGATGCCCCCGCCTCCCGTACGTTTGCGGTGCCCCATCATCATCATCCATCATACCAATAGTGTCAGAGATCTTCGGCGAACAACTTTTTAAAAGAAAGCTAGATATCCACTTCCAGGGCAATGTCGGCCTCGACTTATGTGAAAGATTACCCAGAGCATGTTCAGGACCCTTCGAAAACCCATCACCATCTCCACGGCCGTCTGCACAGCAAGGTCTTGCACGATGCAAAGGTGAGGTTAATACACTTCAAGCACCAGCTGGGAAAGTACAAGAATTTGATCAACCCCAACCACCGCCACGACGAGCCTCACGAGCAACGGGTCGACGAGAAGAGGGACAGCATCAGGGAATCGCACAGGTTTGCCAGTTTCGCAGACATAAGAGAGGGCAACGATGTCAAGTGGTACATCGATGGCAGAGACTACTTCTGGGTATGTACTCGAGATCTGGCCGCTAAAGCGTTCGCTGCGCTGACACTGGTTCGATAGGCGGTTTCGGTAGCGTTGGAGAACGCGGAGGAGGTGATATACATTGCCGATTGGTGGCTGTCTCCTGAATTGGTAGGCTCCTTGGGCCCTTGAATCCTGCATTGGAGATATATCGGGCTAACTGTTTGCAGTTTCTACGAAGACCGCCCCAATTCAACAAGGAGTGGCGCCTTGACAGGATACTGAAGCGTCGCGCGGAGGAAGGGGTGAAGATCTATGTTATTGTGTACAAGGAGGTGATTGCGCCCTCCAATTCCATTCGATCATGGTTCTCGAGAGGGAGGTTTACTGATGGGACATCAATTACCGATATATAGGTCGCTGCCGCTTTGACTTGTAATAGTGCGCATACAAAAAGCGCGCTGGAAAAGCTATGCCCTAAGGGATCACCCGGTCATGGGAACATCGTGGTTATGCGGCATCCAGACCACTCGCCTTTTGAGCATGCTGCGGACATGACTTTCTACTGGGTAGGCGAGATTTAGCTTCCCCCAGCCAGTCACAATCGAGATAGTGACGCCAGCTAACCCGGCTAAATCCAGGCGCATCACGAGAAATTCATCGTTATTGATCATAAGCTAGCCTTTGCAGGCGGATTGGATCTATGTTTTGGACGATGGGATCTGAAGCAACATCCCTTGGCCGATGTGCATCCCGGCGGGGTGGCCAACGAGGTTTGGCCTGGGCAGGACTTTAATAATGTGAGCATCTCGTAAAACTCCCCCGAGTGAGTGTTGACCGGTTTCTAACCTGTTGATCCTAGAATCGAGTTTTGGATTTTCACAATGTACAGGACTGGTATGTCACGTTTCCCCAAAAAACTCTAAACCGAGCAGCACCGCTAACTCCCGCAAAGGGACCAGAACCAGCTGGACAAGAAAGACTATGGTCGCATGCCTTGGCACGATGTTTCTCTCGGTATTATTGGCCCATGCGTCTACGACATTGCGGAGCATTTTGTGGGAAGGTGGAACTTTATCAAACGCGATAAATACAAACGGCATCCTCGGTACCCGTGGCTCGAACTTTCGTTCACCCAGGCCGATCTCCTTGGTGTCGCAAGACCACGATTTCCAGTCGGCGGATTTGTACAGCATCCATTGCACCCAATAGCGGATGCGATCAAGCCAACAGAGCGTGGGAACGGGACATGCAAAGGCCAAGTTGTGAGGAGCGCCAGCGATTGGAGTCACGGTATATTGAAGGAGGAAAGTATTGCAAACGCATTCAAGGAACTCATCAGGGGTGCTCAGCATTATGTTTACATCGAGAACCAATTCTTCAGTACATTTCCCCCACAAGCAAGCATACACAGAGTACAAGGCTAACCATGTTAACCTAGTCACTGCAACCGGGGAGGAACAAGCGCCCATAAAAAACACCATTGGCGCCGCCATTGTAGATGCGGTCTTGAGAGCGGCGAAGGAGGGGCGCAAGTTCCGCGTCATTTGCGTGATCCCAGCCATTCCCGGCTTCCCCGGGGATCTCAGAGACGCCGCGGCGGCAGGAACCAGGGCCATCATCGATTACCAATACAAGTCGATTTGCCGAGGAGAGCATTCCATCATGTCCCGCATTGAGGCCGCTGGAGTGGACCCAAAGAAGTACATCTTCTTCTTCAACCTCCGCAGCTACGATCGCCTTCACAAGTCGAAAGAGTTGGAAGAGAAGGAGGCTGCCGCTGGAATTCCATACTCAGAGATTCAGCGGGCTCATGCAGCTGATGTGATGGGCGAAGAGGGCGTCACTGGCGGCAGAGGATGGGACGACACAAGCAGCGAGAGTAGTGTTGACGAGGATGCCGGAGCGCAGTATACGAGCGAGTTACGAGCGAGAAAGGAAAGGTTTGAAAGGTCGGGAAAGAAGGCGAAGAAGAACCTGAAGGAGCATGATAGCATAGCAGCAGACGCGATGCTGAACGAAAGGCAGGTGTCTGATGAGCTTTGGGAGGGCGACGAAGCAAGTGAGAGACAAAACTTTGTCAATGAGGAGCTCTATGTCCATGCAAAGGTATATTACGGTGCAACTCCGAACTTGCTCTGTAGCCTCTAGCAGCTAACACAAATGTAGGTCATGATCGTCGATGATAGAGCAGCCATCATCGGAAGTGCAAACATCAACGACAGATCCCAGCTCGGCTCGCAT